TTGATTTTTTTTTCTTGATACTAGGAATGAAACTCAGGACCTTGTGCACAGTAGGCAAGCACTCTACCACCAAGACAAAGATCTCGCTAAGTTGCCCAGGCTGACCGTGAACTTGCAATGCTCCTGCCTCAGCCTCCTGAATAGCTGGGATCACCACTGCTCCTAGCTGGAGCCTGTTCTTAACCCAAGTATGATGTTAGCCTGTTCTCAGAGTTACTATTATCAACCATAGAATAATGGTCATGATTTACTGGGTTTAAGTCTTTTGAAATTAAAAAAAAAAAAATTAGTTCCCCTTTTCTGATTTTTAAATTGCTTTATCTTTCCCCTTCTATCTTAGAACATGCTTTCTCTTTCCTAACATGGATGATGTCAGCATCATTATCACTAACAGCTACCATGGGCCAGATCTGTACTAGGCAGTTTTATGTCTTGTTGTTGTCCCCATTCTACAGATGAGGAAACTGAGGTTCAACAAGAAGTCATTTGCCTAAGGTCATGGGATTTTTTAAACTCATGTGTGCCTGGATCCAGAGCTCATGTCCCCAACCCTGAGACCATGCTGTCTCTTACATGACATTCCTTGATCTTATGTACCACCAAGAGGTTGTTTTTGGACAAAAAAAGACCAGAGAAGATTGGCCACAAGCTCAGAGGCACATAGCACATTGTGGCTCTCGTGGGCGAGGCAGGACCAGAGCCGAGGTCTCCTGATGCCTGCTGGGTGCTCTCTGCCTATCTAGGGGCTTGGGAGAGGGAAGGCAGGTGCAGCCCCCATACCATGCACAGCCCACCTGTGCAGGCCACAGCAGCGAAGACCCAGCACTGGCCGTACTTGACGCGCTGGCATCCATCGTCCTTCCAGCGCCGCAGGATGTCCACACTGCCAATCCAGGACATAGGGCTGATGCCATCTGCATAGTTGTTGTCCCAGCGCCCCAGCAACACACCCTGGTCATCATTGCAGTTGACCTGCAATCACAGGGCATCAGGGAATGTGCTGGGCCAGGGTGAGAGTAGAGCCAGGCACAGGTGGAGACAGCATAGGGTCAAAGGCAGGGCAGGAGTGAAGGTGACACAGTACATGTTCTGTACATCTAGGGACCATGAGTGTTTCACACCCAGCTGTGGCCCCAGGGCCTAGGCACAGGTGGCTTGATTGGGATTTAATGAATGAATGAATGAATGAATGAATGAATGAATGAATGAATGAGTGAGTGAGTGAATTACTCTGGTAGTCGCATGGCTTTGCCTTCCTTTGTATAAATCTTCTCTTCGCAAACACAGATGTCCTGTGCCGAGCCTCCCATCTTGTCTCGCACCAGGCCCAGTGCAGAGTGAGCCTGTGTCACCACAGGGAGACAGCAGCCGGTGGACACCTGTGCTCACTCACCATGCCGCTCACCACCCGGCCCACGTAGACAGGGCTGCTGCGGCGTGAGCAGTCTCGGCCAGCATTCTTCAGGAACTTGGGGTTGAGGTCCAGGAGCATCAGGCAAACGTCCAGGATCCCATCTTCAAACTGTGTGAAGAAATGGACAGTGAAGACCCCCACCTGCTACAACCCCCACCGTACCTGCTCCATCTCGCGCAACAGCCTGGCAGGGAACACAAGTGTGTGGACAGTGGGCCAGGGGGACGCCTGCACCCAGGCCTGGCTGGGGACCTGGGCATTGGCACAGAGCATGCAGAGCGGGGAGCATAGCTCCTCAGAGCCCCGGGCCCGGCCTCTGCCCTTCTTTCTGTGCATGGCCAGCTCAGCCACTCTTCTGCAGGCCTGACTCGCCCAGCCCAGTGATTAGAGCGGAGGCTGATGATGTTTCAAACACACCCAGAGTGAAATCTGGACTCCCCGCTGCTTGCAGGTGTTTTGTAATCCGTGCTCACCCCCTCTGGCCTATCTCTCTGCTCCCTCACCCACACTTGCCGCCCCAGCCCCCTGCCTCCAGGCCTTTGCTTCATACACTCGGAATGCTCTTCCGCTGTGCTGTTCACTGTATACCTCATCTTGTACTTCAAGTGCTATCTTTACCAAAAAAACAGGACCCCCTCTTTGCCACCTTCTTGCCCTGCCCATCTGATACCCATCAGGGGAGCCCAGCCCAGGCTACACAGCCACACCCCCTGCTGACTGGAGGATGAGGGAGAAATCGGCAATGCTGTTACTTTAGCCTCTCTGGTTAGGGATTCTCTCTCGTCTGCCCCATTCTCCATCTTGTCTTGCCCTGGACCTGCCTTGTCACAGGTCTCCCTCTGCCACACAACAGCCTTCTAGGGTTTCAATCCATCAGCCTGACGCTGAGGCTGTTCACAGCTAGGACACAGCTGGTTTTCCTCCCATCTCTGGGGTTCCTTTGCACACAATGTACTCATCGAGGTAGAACACACTTCTCAGGGGGAGTGTGTTCACCTTCCCACTGCTGCACTCTGCCCAAGCAGCTCCCCCTTTGCCTGGTACAAGGTGTTCCCTAGTTTTTGCATGGAAAACTCCTACTTGTTCTTCAAAGCCCAACTTGAATGTCCTCTGATTCAAGAGGAAATGGACAGTGGACAGGAAAAGATCTTCCTGTTCTCAATGGGAAGTTATTCCTCCTCTCCTAAACTGTGATCAATTCTAGAGGCTTTGAAAGGTCCATGACCCACAGCCCAACACAAGCCTGCATACAAAACAGAACTCCAGGGCCGGGAAGGTGGCTCAGTGGAATAAGCGCTTCCCTGGCAAGTGCAAGGGTATGATTTCAATCCCGGTAAAAAAAAAAGAACTCCAGGAAATATAAGGAAGGGCTTGGCTTGGCTTTGTTTCTCAGGAGAGAATTACGCATCATGATCACACCACTGTCTTTTCCATCCTACCGTAGGCTAAGGGGTTGCTAGGCAGACACTTTTGTAATGATGACCCAGATGTTCAGAAAAGGAAACTGCCATCAGCTTGAGGCTGAGACCACACAGGATGACTTCCCTATGCCCCACGGAGGACTCACTAAGCCTGACCATTGAACCTTGATCCAGAGGCTGTTGGGAGAAGCCTCAAGGTGAACCCCATCCTAGAGATGAACACCCCCAGATGTTCCAAGAGATTGATGGACCAGGTGGGTGGGGGTCATTGCTTCATGAGTTTCCTCTGAAGACTCCTGATTTTCTCCAGGCATATGTGCAATAGAGGAAATCAGTACTGGTTTAGAGAACAGTCTCGGAAGCAGCTAGAGAACAGGAAACCATGGAACGGAGAGGAGCTGCCCAGCCCAGCCCACAGATAGACATCCAAGACTGGATGGCCTTGTGTAAGCCATAAGAAATGGCTGTTAGCCAGGTGTTGTGGTGTGTGTTCATGACCCCAGCACCACAGGAGGCTGAGGCAGGGGGTTACAAATTTGAGCCCAGCCTGGGAAATTTAGCAAGACCATGAGTCAAAAAACAAATGAGAGAGGG